TGCTGTTTCCATAACAGCAAGTTGAGTGGAATCTTTGTTTGCACACATCCTTCAGCCACTACAGCAGGACCTAAAGGGTTGTGAATGCTCCTCACTGCAGCTCAATAAACCCATTGACATGACCAAGACAGCCCAGCTGAGCTGAACAACGGGTGAAAATATCCTCAACAGATTCAGAAGCTATGTGCTTGAGAAAAACATTCCAATTGAGAACCTGGCTTCCATCACAACTGATGGTGCACCAGCCATGCTTGGCACAAATATGAGCCAAGATGATCATTTTAGGCGTTTGTGATCACAGTTAGGCAGTTGACAATTTATTGTAAGGAATTTTCTGATAGTTTTTTAAAGTTTGTTAAGAAGTAGTAGTTTAGATAGGATACATTAGTAAATCAGATTAAGACATTATACAACCGAGACAATTGGGGATGATTTACTGATACCAGAGACAAACAGGCTGTTGGCATGGAATGTTTCAGTCTTACAAAAGTTCGGGGCAACATTCTATCCTCTAACCAAGGTGTTAGAGAACACTTCCCTCTGTCTTCCTCTCTCCTTCTGGTCAAAGTTCCATCTGTCTGGTGAGGATTGCTCTATGAAGATTGCTGCCAACAAGGTCTGCTTAATGGGAACTGCTCTCTGGGAGGAACTCTCCTCTGGCTTGAGTTTACACTATTATTGGTCCCTGAGCAAATCCTCCAGTGCAGATATGATGTCGCCCCAGAGTGGTTACTCCAGCATGGAAACTAGCTCTTTAACTCCATTGGCAGTGCATGGCTTTTCCAGCTTCTCTAACTTCCTTGGCCTCAGCGCCATTATTCCAGTATGGAATTGGCTGGGCCTTTGTGGGCTTCCTCACCCCGGTACCTCCTATCCTGAGTACACCTCTGTCTCTGAGCCTGCTACTTATTGTTTTATCATATTGCTAGGGGCAGGTTATTTTCTCTGTGACAAACAATTGTCTGAATCCTTTGGCCAATGGCCATGGGACATGAATGTTCCCCTGCCCCCTCATTTGAGCAACATTTGCTATTCTTTTTGAGCTTATTTTCAAGAACAACACACTTATAACAGGGTATGTTTGGTACCAGATTGAATTGTTGACACTAGTTTAATGGGCATCATGACCTCTGTGTTTTTTGTAATTCTTGCCTTTGATTTTATATGCTACAATTTTAGAAAGTTAATTACGGCAGCGATAACTGTTAAATGAAACCTTGCACTACACAATGCGTACTAGGAAAATTCAGTTTTTAAGGGATCTCAATATTGAACAGTTGCATCTGGTTTTTAAGGTCAGTGAGTGCATTTGATGGGAATTATGAGGTTAGGAAGTCATTGAAACCCATCAACACCTCAGTTAGCGAAGCGCAGTTTTTACATGGGTTTGTACAACACGATTAACAGCACAGAATTGATCCTTGTCATTCATTCCATTGATTTCAATCAATAAGGAAGCTGGAACAATGCAACCTCTGGAAAGGAGTGTTAAAACATTGACACCAAGGTGTGAACATCCATGTATTCTGCAAAAATTTCTGTCTTCCAGATTATCAGGGCAGACTGCAGGGGAAGGTTTCTAATCAAAATTCATAAGAAAGAGATTCTTATCTCCTACTTCCTAAACTGCCATGAAATTTGTTCAGTTTATTCAGGGTGCTGATGAGGCCTCGTCTTGATTACGTGGCTTTTCTCCCTTAGTTAATGAAGGATGTAAATGCTTTGCAGTAGTTCAGAAGAGGTTTACTCTTTGGCACCTGGAATGAGTGTGTTGTCTTATGAAGATAGGTTGGATGGGCTGGCCTTAGATCCACTGGAGTTTAGAAGACTAAGAGGTGAATTGGTTGAAGTGTGTAATTCCCAGAGGGGGACGTGGAAATGATGTTTCCTCTTGTTGGTGAATCTAGAACTCAAGTACTGTTTAAAAAAATAAATTCACCTTTTTAGGAGAGAGATGAGGAGATCTTTTTTCCTCTCAAAGGGTCATATGACTTTGTAACTCTCTGCCTCAGAAGGTGGTGGGGGTGGGGTCAGCGAATATTTTTAAGGCAGAGATGGATAGATACTTGTTAAAGTGGGAACCAAAGGTTATTGGGGATAGATAGGAACGTGGAATTCAAAACCGAAACATCAGCCACAATGCTATTGAATGGCAAAGCACACTCAAGGGTTTAGATTACTCGCACTCTTAATTTGGATTTTCATAAATTAAAAATACAGCAAGCTTCGTTTTAACGGGTACCTTATGAACTGGCATTTTTGGTAAACCAGCAAAAATTATATTTGTTTTTTTCATTCATGAGATGAGGGCATCGCTGGTTAGGCCAGCATTTATTGCCCATCCCAGAGGGCAATTAAGAGTCAACCACATTGTTGTGGTTATGGAGTCACATGTAGGCCAGACCAGGTAAAGTTGGCAGTTTCCTTCCATAAAGGACATTAGTGAACCTTAAATACTGCGAAGTATACTGTATTATTTTGTCCAATTATTTTAGTTTTTAAATTTATTCCCTCAATATAAACATACTTGTTGTTCAATTAAATGGCCACACAAAATATCAACAGTTGATGCAATTTCAAGTCGATTTCTCCTCAAACACTGCGATCTACCGCGTTGTCTCAGTAGTCAGTTGAGGATGTGAGTGAGAAGGCTCTCTCTTTATTTAAGACAAAGTTGCATTATTATGCTGTAAATAAAGTAAAACAGTGATATGTATACCCCTGCAATACATTTCTATTACTTAGTTGTATGTTTTTACATTAAGTGGACCTCATGATTATCTGGAATATTTGATCAATCTGCATACTCCTGGTCCCATAGGTGCAGGATAATAAAAAAAAATGCTGTAATATGAAAACAAGCCATTATGTAAATTTACAGACAGACTGCATAACTTCAAATTGAGTGGTATATTCCAAATAATGTTGCTCACTGGTACTGTACAATCATATATCACAGAAGGAAGTGCATCAGCCATGAACATTTACTCCAGCAAACATATGAACCAATAACAGGAGTGGGCCATTCAGCCCATCAAGCCTACTCTAACCAATCAGGACATGGCTGCTCTGACCAGAACACCACCTGATTTCAGTTCTCATGAACAATACTGTAGCATATTAACTGTTTGAGGGTACATACAAGAAGCCATGGACGCAGCATCAGTAAATAATGGTGACATAATCAACAGCAATAACTTTTATTTAATAACGCCATTAAAATATCCCAAGGTATTTCACAACTGAGAATCAAACAAAATTTAACAAGAAGATTTGGCCTCAGGTAAGGAGGTAATAGGACAGGTAACCGAAAGCTTGGTTAAATAGACAGATTGTAAAAGAGAAGACAGAGAAAAAAACGATGGGAAGCTTTTTTTACAGGTAACGGGGGAGTGTGTTTCAAGACCTTAGAGCCTAGACAGCAGAAAGCTTTGCTTTCAATTGTGGAGTGAAGAAAAGTGGGGATGCCAGAACTGAACAGGGTATTCAGTTTAATCCTTTAAATAAAACGTGTAATAAATTCAGCCTTAGCCTATTTTCCCTGTATAGCAAAGCAGTGAAGACTTCTCTAGGGGAGAAAAAAGGGATCAGAGTGTTCTCCTTGCATTGGTTTGATGTCCTGCTCTATTTTACAGCAAATGTGATGAGGTGCATCTCAAGAGCATTGACAACTATGGAGTGCTGTGTCTAGATATGGTCTGGTGTAATCTTCAGCTGCAGAAAATTGAATACCTTAAAGATGCACGAGAAAAGTTAGAAAATGCTCAGAAGTACTTCAATGAGTGCTTTGGAGAAAATCAGGAACGACTCCGGAGACTTGAGGTTCGTTCATTTTTGTTTGCTTGCAAGATTTGCCCATTTGTCCACGTATGGCACAGAGACTGTCAGTCAGACTCACATTTCAGGTTGCTAGTATTTATTTAATTTATTTGTTCATATGTTGCGAATATTGCTGGTAAGCTCAGGACTTATTATCTACTCCTTGATCCAATTTCAGAGGATCATGAGTCTGTGGAATTCGTTACACCTTAGCGGGGTGGATGATTTTTCTTTTCTTTATTCACTCATGGGAGGAGGCCCATCCCTAGTTGCCCTTGAGAAGGTGGTGGTGAGATGCCCTCTTGACCTGTTACAGTCCACCTGCTGTGGGTTAACACACAATGCCTTATGGAGGTAACTCCAGGATGTTGACCCAGCAACAGTGAAGGACTGGGGATATATTTCCAAGTCAGGATGGTGAGTGGCTTGGAGGGGAACTTGGAGGTGGTGGTGTTCCCAAGTATCTGCTGCCCTTGTCCTTCTAGATTGAAGTGGTCGTGGGTTTGGAAGATGCTGCTGGAGGAGCCTTAGTGAATTTCTGCAGTGCATCTTATAAGTAGTACACACTGCTGCTACTGAGTGTCGGTGGTGGAGGGAGTGGATGCTTGTGGATGTAGTACCAATCAAGGGGGCTGCTTTGTCCTGGATGGTGTCAAGCTTCTTGAGTGTTGTTGGAGCTGCACCCATCCAGGCAAGTGGGGAATATTCCATCACACTTATGACTTATGCTTTGTAGATGGTGGACAGGATTTGAGAAGTCAGGATGTGAGTTACTCACCACAGTATTCCCAGCCTCCGACATACTCTTGTTACAAATACGTTTATGTGGTGAGTCCAGTTCAGTTTCTGGGCAATGGTAACCCCCAGCTGGTTGATTGTGGTAACACCATTGAATGTCAAAGAGTGGTGGTTAGATTGTATGTTATTGGAGATGGAGAAGGGCCTGTTTCAACACTGTAGGGATTCTATGATTCTAACTCCTGCAGAAATGTCCTGGAGCTGATATGACTGACCTTCACAAACACAACCATCTTCCTGTGTACCAGGTTTGACTTCAACCTCCGGAGAGTTTGCCCCCTGATTCCCATTGATTCCAGTTTTGCTAGGGCTCCTTGACACCACACTTTGTCAAATGATGCCGGGACATTGAATAAACTTCAGAAGTAGATAGGAGGATTAGTAGTTAGTGATGAGTTGAAGGGTTGAGGAGAGTGGACAGGGAAATGGAGTTGAGACTGAGATAAGATCGTATTGAATGGTTGAACAGATTGAGGGCTGAATTGCCTACTCCTGCTTCTGTTCTTATGTTCATGAACTGCTGCAGTTATTTTGACCCTGTACCAATGAAGCAACAGTGATTTAGTTCCAAGCTCGGATGGTGTGTGCCTTGGAGGGGATCTTCCCTGTGGGTACTGTTCTAGGCGGTGGTGGCAGTATTTCCACGTTTCAGCCACCCAGTGCTTCTAGATGGCACAGCTTATGGGTTTTGGACCTGCTGCTGATGGATTATCGGCTGACAGATTGGTGGGGGTACTACTTCTTAGGCTAATGTACTTAGAACTGCACTTTTATATAAATCACCCCTTTACTAATATGCTTCTTTTATGCAGATGGCCCACTTTAAAACTACATTGACAAATTAGGTACAAGCTCATTATGTGTTTGTGGGAAAGAGACACCTGTCAGAAAACCCTGATAAATGACCTGTCCATCAGCATCTGACCATTGATAAAATTGTCTTAGCTGGGGAGAGACGCAGCTCTCAGTAGAGCTCTCTGAGAGACACAGTAACACACAGCAGACAGTGTGACATTGTCAGTTTGGAACCTGATTTTGAGCAGCATATATTACAGGCTGCTGATGTAGATGCAAGAGTGTGACTTAATAATCTACACGAAGGTGTCTTGTGGTGTAAATGGCAGTGTCCCTACCTCTCTGCCAGAAGGTACGGGTTCATTCCCTCCTGGATGAATCTTATAAATAATCAAACAGGTTGATTTAAAAAAAACACAATCTGCATAAATGGCATTATGCTGTGCCTGTAGTGAAACAGAGAAGCTCTTATTCATAGAAAGGGTGCTATGGGTTTAGAACTCTCTTCCACAAGTGATAACTGATGTCAGATCAAGTGTTGATTTTAATATTGAGACAGGTAGATTTTTGTTAGCCAAAAGCATTAAAGGATAGAGTCATAGAGTTATAGAGGGCTACAGCATGGAAACAGGCCCTTCAGCCCAACTTGCCCATGCCACCCAGTTTTCACAATTAACCTAGTCCCATTTGATCCATATCCCTCTATACCTACCCAATCCATGTACCTGTCCAAATGTTTTTCAAATGAAGAAATTATACTTGCATCCACTGCTACCTCTGGCAGCCTGTTCCAGATGCTCGCTAGCCTCTGTGTGAAAAACTGCTTTTGTATCTCTCCCCTGTCACCTTAAACCTTTGCCCTCTAGTTTTAGACTCACCTAACATGGGGAAAAAATGTTGGCTATCTACCTTATCAATGTCTCCCATGATGTTATGGACCTCCATAAGGTCACCCCTCAGTCTCCTACTCTCCAGGATGTGGGGCAAAAAAAGAGTACACAGGGCTAGACCATAGATCAGCCGCAATCTCATTGATTGGGAGTGACACAGGCTCTAGGGCTTGAATAGCCTCTTTCTGTTCCTGTGTTCCAGCACTCAGCAGGTTTGGCAGTTTTTTTTTTACACAGGATGAGGCCATTGCTGGCTGGAGGGCAGGTAGGAGTTAATTACATTGCTATGGGTCTGAACTCACTTGTAGGCCAGACCAGGTAAGGATGGCAGTTTTCTTCCCTAAAGGACATCAGTGAACCAGATGGGTTTTTCCGACGATCGACAATGGTTTCATGGTCATCATTAGACTCTCAATTCCAGATTTTTATTGAATTCAAATTCTAGCACCTGCTGTGGTGGGATTTGAACCCTGGACCCCAGAACATCACTAAAGACTCTGGATTAATAGCCTGGATAAAACCACTCGGCCGTTGCTTCAATCTGTTGAGAAAGGCTAAACCGTTTCAGAAATCACAAATGGGACAGGTGCAAGAGACATAGAGTATTCTAAAATGCTCGATGCAGCATGAGGTGGTCTCGGGCCAAAAGAATATAGTCACATGTTCCAGACAAAAACTCATCTGCTAATGCATCTGTGCAGTGGCTTTTAATGAGTCACATTTGAAAGTGTTTTCTCAGGAACTCTCCCCCTTCTCTCTACAGGATGACAGTGGGAGACATCAGATATTGTTCCTTCAGCTCTACGTGCTCTGGGGGGTGTGGTTTTATTACAACCAGATGGAGAAAGATGCTTTGAAAAACCTAGACCAGGTAAAGTGTTTAATTTCAGTTAAAGGTTAAAAACTCTGGGTGTCTTTTTATTTGTGTTGGTGCAGTTCAGTTATCTGCATTCCTGCCGTGAAGGTAAAACCACTTGTTCACCTGTGAAGGGGCATTAGGTTGGGGTATCTACCACCTTTACCAGGCGGTCTTCCTTCAACAACAATAACAATGAAACCTACAATTTCCTTTAGCAGAATAAAATATCCAACGAGGAATGATCGCGATGCAAAATCTTATGCTGAGCTGCAAAAGGAGGTGACCAAAAACTTAGTCAAAATTGGTATGTTTAAGGAGGAGACAAAGCTCACGGGGTTTAGGGAGGGAATTCCAGAGCTTTGGAAGAAAAATTATGTCTGCAAATATTGGAGCAATGAAAACAAGGGAGATGCTAAAGGCCAGAACTGGAAAATCACAGCTACTCCTAAAAGTTGTTGGGCTGGAGCAGTTCATCGTGATCGCGATAAGCACGTCCATGGAGATACTTGAAAACAAGATGAGGATCAGGAGCAAAAACAGAAATTGGTGGAGAAAGTCAGGTTTGGAAGCACCTGTGGAGAGAGAAAGCAGAGTTAATGTTTCAGGTCTACTGACGCTTCTTCAGAATTGGATTCAAAACATTAGCTCAGTTTTCTCTCTGCTGCTGCCAAACCTACTAAGTTTCTCCAGCAATTTCTGTTTTTGTTTCAGATCTTCAGGGTCCTCAGTTCTTTGTTTGATGATGAGAATTTTAAAGCTGAGAACTTGCAATATAGGTCAGCAAGCACAGGGCTGATTCATTATTGGGATAATTGCACAGTTATCCACGATATAAAGTAATTTGAGACTGGGCTATATCGGGCATGATCAAATTCAGGCATAAAGTGATATAACTACAATAATGTTGATGAAAAAGATTTTAAACATTTACATTTTTATAACTTACTTCAAAAATATTCCATAAAAATGATCTGAAGTTACAAAGAACACTTCAGAAGTTAGGCTCAAAAACAGAAGTTGCTGGAAAAGCTCAGCAGGTCTGGCAGCATGTGAGGAAGGGTCACCAGACCCAAAACGTTAACTCTGATTTTTTTCTTCACAGATGCTGCCAGACCTGCTGAGCTGTTCCAGCAGCTTCTGTTTTTGTTCCCGATTTACAGCATCCACAGTTCTTTTGGTTTTTATTCAGAAGTTTGGCAACCTCCTTCATTTTAAATAACATATAGGCCAGGACATTTCCCCATCCAGATTTCACTAGCTCCTGGACGAACTCGAAATGCACTTCAGTTAAAAAAAAATGCAGCTGTTTCCAACTCCCCTGCTTATTATCAAAAGAATCAAAGATGACATGAGGGGAATCATTTTCAAATTGCGAGTGGTTCTGCTCTGGAATGCACTGACTGATGAAACAGTGAAAAGAATCTAGTTTGTGATTTTAGAAAGGAAACGGACAAGCACTGGAAGTGGAGGATGGGAATGTCTGACTAGCTAATGTACCCTTACAGAAAGTTGGCATGGCTTTGATAGACTGAAGTGCCTTGTTCTGGCCTGTAACTCTTCTATGAGATTAAACAGAGACCACAATGTCCCTCACAGAATAAGAATGATCAATAGCACTATCTGGAAGAAGAGTAGGGAAGTTCTGTCTGGTCTCCTGGCCAATGCTTTACCCTCAACCAGGATTAAAACAGATGACCCGGCTGTTTTCACATTTCTGTTTGTGGGATCTTGCTCTGCATAAATTTGTTGCCATATTTTCTGCACTGGAGCAGAGAATACACTTCACAGGCATGCCTTTGGCATTTTGGGATGACTTAATATTGTGAAATGTGCTAGAAAAAGATAAATACCAATTCTGAAAGCTCAAAACTTGCAGAACTGGCTAATTCTAAAACAAAATTCAGTTTTTCTAACTCTAGCTCTTCAGTACTTTGTCTATGTCAGGGTAAGTGCTAAATCCAGTGAGGTTCAATGTATGGTATATTATAGGATGGTACATGTGCAGATGCTGAACATCAGCTCTTATACACTTATTTCCCCAAGACCATGTCCCCACCCCGAGTATCAAATTGTTCTTTTGAAGCCTGTCACTGACCTCATCTCCTCTAGAAGTCTTGCCTCCTCAGATAGCCCCAACCCTGTTTCTACATTCTTCCCAAAAAACCCAAAACTGCCCAGGCAGTGTTATGCTTGTCCATGCCCTAATGAACTTACAGGGGAAGGTGCTGCGGAGAGGTGGGAGAGAAGGAAGAGTGGACCAGGGTGTCCCAGAGGGAATGATCCCAGCAGAAGGCAGACAAGGGTGGGGAGGGAAATGTGTATCTGGTGGTGGCATCTTTCTGGAGGTGGCGGAAACGGCATCTTCTGGATGTGGATGCTGTGGGATGGTAGGTAAGGACAAGGGGAACCCCATCGCTGAGGGAGGAGAAGGAGTGACGACTGAACAGCAGGTTGAGGGCCCTGTCAATAACGGTGCTAGGGAATCCTTGGTTGAGGAAGAAGGTGAACATTTCGGAGGCTCCCTTGTTGAAGTTAGTCTCATCCGAACATATAAGAAGGAGACGGAGGAATTGAGAGAATGGGATGGAGTCTTTACAGCAAGCAGGGTGTGGGGATGTATAATCCAGGTAGCTGTGGGAGTCAGTGGATTTGTAGTGGATATTAGTGGCCAGTCTATCCCCAGAAATGAAAACAGAGATGTTGAGGAAGAGAGGAGTCAGAGATTGACCATGTAAAGTGAGGGCAGGGTGGGACCGAGTTCAATAGTTTTAGGACCTAAACTCTCCCATGTCCTAGAACCCAATCCTTGTTATCACTTAGCCTGCTGTTACACACAACCTATTGTTAGCCACTAACAGTCTCCATTAACAGCGATAGGGTTCCCCTTGTCCTTACCTACCATCCCACCAGCATCCACATCCAGAAGATCATCAGACGCCATTTCACCACCCCTGGTGAGATGCCACCACAAGACACATATTCCCCTCCCCTCCCTTGTCCGCCTTCTGCAGGGACCGTTCCCTCTGGGACACCCTGGTCCACACTTCCTTCATGCCCAACACCTCTCCCCGCAAGAGTTCCACAGCACCCTCCCCTGTAACCATCAAAGGTGCAACACCTGCCCTTTTACCTCCTCCCTCCCCACAATCCAAGGGCCCAAACATACCTTCCAGGTGAAGCAACACTTCACCTGCACTTTCCAAAATCCAGTCTACTGCATTCGCTGCTCACAATGTGGTGTCCTCTACACTGGGGAAATGAAGCATACACTGGGTGACCACTTTGCAGAACATCTACGTTCTGCTCACAAAAACGACCCTGACCTCCCAGTTACCTGCCACTTTAACACACCACCCTGCTCCCTGGCCAACATCTCTGTCTCTGGTTTGCTGCAGTGTTCTAGAGAAGCTCAACGCAAGCTGGAAGAACAACACCTCATTTTCTGCTTGGGGACCCTGCAGCCCTCCGGATTCAATATCAAGTTCAATAATTTTAGGGCCTAAACTCTCCCATGTCCCAGCCCCCTACCCCACACAGCATGCCTTGTTATCACATAACCTGCCATTACACACTACCTATTGTTAGCCACTAACAGTCCCCATTAACAGCTATTCACCCTCC